TAATTAAGCTTCCATTTTCATAATTACCTCGTTGACAATTAGAGTTAAGGAAGTTAATAGAATTTTAAGTGATGGAATCAAATTCTGACGGCCACCAGATTATACAAACCCAATCACGGGAGCCTCCAACGATCAACGACGAATTGACGAGTGTTCTTGTTTGTTCTTCCAGCTTCCTCACAGACCCATCCAAATTTGATGCAAAAATCTGTTGCTGATTTGAATTAACTGTTTGCATCAGCCCACTTAATGGGGAGAATAATGTGAGTTGAAGGTTAGGAGAAGAGAGACGTGCTGGTTTTTGCAATGGAATTTGGATGTTTCACTGCGAGATGCGTGGACTGACAATGAATTTTAAAAAAGGAACAGCGCCTTCCTACTTTTCTCTCACCGATTTCCCTCTATCAAGTTTATGCAAAACTGTGCCTCACACTATTGAGGACATATTCTATTTATATTGGCAAAAGATTAACTAATAGATCCGATTTCATAGGAAACTAACGAAGTAAGCCTATTCTTATGGCATGACTAACTTCAAGCTATTCTAATGGATTGACCAATTCTAACAGTCCCCTTCAATCCCAACAAGTCTTGTACATGTTGAGATTGTTACAATGTGTAGTAAAAGGAGTTTTAGACAGTGGTTTTGTCAGGATATCAGCTACTTGATCACTTGATGAAATGAACCGAACTTCCATTGCTTTACGTGCTACTTGTTCTCGAACAAAATGAAAATCAACTTCAATATGTTTCGTTCTAGCATGAAATACTGGATTTGAAGTTAAATATGTAGCTCCGAGGTTGTCACACCAGAGGCGAGGAGCCTTTGATTGATACACGCCCAGTTCCTTCAGTAATGACTTGATCCAAATCATTTCTGCAGTAAGATTCGCAATGGCCTTGTATTCTGCTTCGGTGCTTGATCTTGACACTGTAGCCTGTTTTCTGGAACTCCATGAGATTAGATTTGCTCCAAGAAATACAGCAAAGCCGCTAGTTGAACGTCGATCATCGGGACAACCAGCCCAATCAGCATCAGAAAACCCCGACAACATCATGGTTGATTTCTGAATTTTCACTCCTAATGCTAGTGTGCCTTTAACATAACGAAGAATTCTCTTCACAGCACCCCAATGAGCATCAGTAGGCGTATGAAGATATTGACACACTTTATTGACAGCAAATGCCAAATCAGGCCTAGTCATTGTCAAATATTGTAGTGCTCCCACTGTACTTCTGTATTTGAATTGTTCTTCAGCTGATAAGGGTATTCCTTGTTCTCTGAATAATTTTTCAGCAGAACCCATTGGTGTGGACATAGGTTTGCATTTTTCCATGTTTACTCTTTTCAACAAATCTAAAGCATATCGTCTCTGTGACAGTATGATACCATCTCGTGTTTTCTTGACTTCAATACCCAGAAAATACTCAAGATCACCCAAATCTTTTACTGCAAAATCTATTTTCAATTTTTGAATCAACCTTTCGGTTGCTTGATCAGAGGAGCTCACAATAATTATATCATCAACATAGATGAGCATATAGATAGTTATCTCTCTGTTTTTGAGAATAAAAAGAGATGAATCAGCTACTGAAGCCTTGAAGCCTAACTCAATAAGTTTTCCAGTCAACCTTGAATGCCAAGCTTTTGGGGCTTGTTTCAGGCCATAAAGGGCTTTCTTGAGCTTGCATATGTAATTCTTTGGTTTGGCTGAGTCTTGAAATCCTGGTGGTTGTCGCATGTACACTTCCTCTTTCAGAATTCCATGCAAAAATGCATTTTGGATATCAACTTGTCTCATATTCCAGCCCTTGGTTACTGCTAGCGAAAGAATGACCCTGATTGTTGACGGTTTGATCACAGGGCTAAAAGTATCAGTGTAATCAACACCAAATCTTTGCTTGAATCCTTTGGCAACTAATCTTGCTTTTAATCTTTCAACTGACCCATCTGCTTTTCTTTTCACTTTATACACCCATTTACTATCAATGAGATTTATTCCAGGTTTGGGTGGAACTAGATCCCAAGTGGCATTTCGTTTTAGCGCTGAGAGCTCATCATTCATTGCTTCTCTCCATCTTGGATGTTGCATGGCTTCCTGCAGGTTTCGAGGTTCAGTAGCAGTCTCTATGATCGGAGTTGTGATAGTTACAGCGCTTGCGAATTTTCTTGAGGTTTCTGAATATCTGATAGTTCCATCAGTGAATTGTTTAGCTTGTACAATGTTATTTCTCAACCTTGTTCGCATTGGATGTTGACTAGCTGCTTCAGTTGGTTGATCAGACACATGTTCATGAGTTTGGTTTTGAGCATTGATCGAACTGCTCTCAGCTTCATATTCTGCAATTTCCTCTGAACTTCTTGTATTATCTGCAGGAGATAAGCTGACACCAGACAAGTCGTCACTAGCAATATTATCAGTTTGACCATCATTCATATGGGAATTACTAACAACTGGTTCAATATCTGTAAGAGCATTTTCAGTGTAAAAACTAGCAAGTTTGGCTAAGGCTGGAAGTAGAACAGGATGATGTGGATTTGTGGTTTTGTTTGGTGGCTTAGATTCTTCAAAAGGAAAAATATTTTCATCGAAAACCACGTCTCTAGAGATGTAAATACGTCCTGTACTTCTATTTAAGCATTTATATCCCTTATGAGAAGAACTATAACCCAAGAATATACATCTAGTAGTTCTGAAACTCAGTTTCTTGTTGTTGTAAGGCCTTAAATTAGGCCAGCAAGCACAGCCAAACACCCTAAGCATGGAGTAGTCTGGACTTTTACCAAACAATTTATGAAGTGGTGTGTCTTGTTGTATGGTTCGGCTGGGCATTCTATTTATAAGAAAGCAAGCTGTGTTGAAAGCTTCATCCCAGTAGGATAGAGGCATGTTGGCTTGAGCGAGTAAAGCAAGGCCAGTTTCTACAATGTGTCTGTGTTTTCTTTCGACTAACCCATTCTGCTGGTGTGTGTGAGGACAGGAGATATGATGTTCAATGCCTGTGGATTTGAAATAATTGTGTAACCGATGGTATTCACCCCCCCAATCTGATTGGACGGAGCGAATTTTGGTATTTAGCATAGTTTCAACATGTTTTTGAAATTGAAGGAACACAGACTCAACATCAGATTTGCATCTCAGAAAGTAGATCCAAACATAACGACTAAAATCATCAACAAAGGAAACATAATATTTGGAATTATTTACTGACGCAATGGATGGACCCCATACATCAGTGTGAATTAATTGAAGGGGTGCTGTAGATACATGCTGAGAAGAACCAAATGGCAATTGATGTGCTTTCCCTAATTGACAAGCATTACAAATTGAGGAAGAGGGAATATTAGTATCTATAGCTAAATTATTATCTTGTAGAATTCTAATGGTAATTGGAGATGCAGGGTGCCCTAGCCTTCTGTGCCATTGTTCTTTCGAAAGTTTGGCTGTCAGCAAGGCTTGACTGAAATTATGCGGTAGAACGTATAGGCCATTCTTACATCTACCGTGGAGCAGGAGTTTCTTCGTGACTCGGTCCTTAACCAAAAAATAGTTTGGGTGAAATTCTACAACAGCATTATTATCAGATGCTAGTCTTTGTACTGAAATTAGGTGCTTATTGATTTTAGGAGCATATAGGATATGTTTCAGAACAAGAGATGAACCAGAAATTAATGAATTCCCAATATGAGAGATAGACAAACCTGCGCCATTTGCAACCTGAATTTGGTCGGTGCCAGTGTAGCGTTCTCTGGTGGTAAGCCTCTCTAGGTCATTGGTGATATGATCTGTGGCTCCAGTGTCAACATACCAGTTTGTGTCACTAGTGTATCCACTTGTTGCCAAAGCTGCTTGTTTGAGATTATTTTCGGCTTGATATGCCTGATCAAATCTGTGCCAGCATTGCAAAGCATCGTGATTGGGCTTACCACAAATCTGACAGACAATGCCTGAGCTGCTTTGTGTCTTTGATGGTTGACGTCCAGGATTGTTCACAGTACGCCTTGATTGTCCATGACCACTATTTAACTGACGACTACGACCGCGACTACCTCGACCTCCATTGGCACCTCCACGAATGGATATCCTATTGACATTGTTAGCAGATGAAAGTTGCTCAAATGTACCCTTACGCAAGTGCCGCATCTCATAGCTCAGCATGTGAGCATACACGTCGCTGACAGTGTATACATCTGTTCTGGTTGTAATGCTTGTGACTAGAGGATCATAATCTGGACCAAGTCCTTGCAGCATGTAGGCGATGAGTTCTTCATCCTCTATTCGCTTGCCAATGGCAGCAAGTGTATCACCAAGATGTTTTACTTTACGAAAGTAGTCAGCAATTGTCATGTCCTTTTTCTGGATAGTAGAGAGTTCCATACGGATCTGCATTGCTCTTGCTCGAGATGTGGAAGCAAATTGTCGCTCCAGCGTAATCCAGGCTTCTCGTGCAGTGGTGATTCCAACCATCGTGCTGAGAACCTCCTCAGTGACTGATGAGTTGATGAGGCTGAGTACCAGCTGGTCCTGGGGGTACCAGACTGTGAACTCAGGGTTGATGATAATTTTGCGATTCCCTGTTTCTTCACTTGGTTCAACGGCGATCGTCTGGCTTGGTGCAGGCATGGATCCATCCACAAAACCAACAAGGTTTTGGCTACGCAAGTAGGGAAGGATTTGGGTAGACCACAGTAGATAATTTTCTTGTGTAAGCTTAACACTGATCACCTGACTGATCGACGGAGAAGACATTGTGTTGATTGGGATTGACATGTTTAGCAGCAGAGGCTATGGATCTCGTGGATCTTATTTGTGCTCTGATACCATATCAAGTTTATGCAAAACTGTGCCTCACACTATTGAGGACATATTCTATTTATATTGGCAAAAGATTAACTAATAGATCCGATTTCATAGGAAACTAACGAAGTAAGCCTATTCTTATGGCATGACTAACTTCAAGCTATTCTAATGGATTGACCAATTCTAACACCCTCTTTGATGAATTGGATTGTCTATGGAAGTAGTTGCAGAAATGGGTGTTTTGTCTATACTTGAAAAACATCCAAAACAGCTTTTGAAAGCGAGGCCTCAAACGTCTCGGTTATAGCTCGTCCTCTGCTTCTGCTCTGTAAAAAAACATGGCCCTACCTCTCCTCTCTGCTTCGTTTTTTGGGTCTCTCTGAATTTTTCTGGGTTGAAAGAAACCTCCGTTAATTTGCCGTCGAAGCGATAAGTACGAATTATTGTTTGTTTTTTTTTTCTTCATTGATTGTTTTCCTTAGGTTGGGGAAACCCTCTGATTGATACTTGTTCATCTGGAATCTGCATCCGTTGAAGTTCTGCTTGGATTGCTCTGTTCATCCAAGCTTGTAAGTTGAACTTGTCTAGTACCCACTTCGTTTTTCATATTGAATACAGATTTCGAAGTAAGATCAGGGCTCTGTTGTTGGGTTTATTGAAGATTGTTATTTAGAAACTGGGTTCATTTGATTTGGCGTCTTTTTCAATCTGAAACTAAGATGACATCGAGAGTAGAAATTGATGAGGACTCTGAAACGAAGGGAAGTATGTGGGTTCTAGACCAGAAGCTGGATCAGCCTATGGACGAAGAAGCTGGGAGACTTAGTAACATGTACAAAGAGAAGGTACCAACTGGTTCTTAATCTCTCAGTTATATCTAGGGTCTTATGATATGATATGATATGCTGCCATTCATCGATCTGATAAGATCTTACATTTTCCAGAAATTCTCGGTATTGTTGCTTCTTCGACTTGCATATCAAAGCCTTGGAGTGGTTTATGGAGATTTGGGGACTTCTCCTCTATACGTCTTCTACAATACATTTCCTCATGGGATATCTGATCCGGAGGATGTAATTGGAGCACTTTCATTAATTATATACTCTCTTACTCTCATTCCACTCATAAAGTATGTATTTATCGTGTGTAAAGCAAATGACAATGGTCAAGGTAAGCAAGCCATTTGTGTATAGGCCCATTTTCAAACAATTGTAAACTTAAGAACTCAAGAATCTGTAGTCCATAGAAACATATGTGTTGATATAGGTTGCGTTTCCTCTAAGTTAAGCTGTCTGTGTAGGTGGAACATTTGCTCTTTACTCCTTGTTATGTCGTCATGCAAAAGTAAAAACTATTCCAAACCAACATCGAACTGATGAAGAGCTAACAACATATAGCCGCTCTAAATTTCATGAGCACTCATTTGCTGCTAAAACTAAAGGATGGCTTGAAAAACGATCATCCAGGAAGAATGCTTTGCTCATTCTTGTTCTTGTTGGCACTTCCATGGTTGTTGGAGATGGAATTCTCACTCCTGCAATATCGGGTATTATTTTCTTTAACCAATCACTCCAAAGGCTCCCACTTGGACAGTATGTTTATGAATTACTTGGTTGTTTTGGAATTCGTTTTGCTTCTGCAAACAAATAATTATCGACCTTTCTGTCATCAACAGTTTTATCTGCTGCGGGAGGGATCAAAGTCAACCACCCCCATGTGAGCAGTGGTATTGAGCTGACTCTGAAATTAAATTTTCTTTCCTTTTACCACTCTGTAATTCAGAGATTCCATATCGGTTGGAGAGGGGAACGAAACATTCCTTATAAGAGTGTAGAAACTTCTCCCTAAAGACGCGTTTTACGAACTTTGAGGGAAAGCCCAAAAAGAACAATATCTGCTAGTTGTGGGTTTGACTGTTACAAATGGTATCGACACCAGGCAGTGTGCCAGCGAGGACGTTGGGCCCCTAAGGGGGGTAAATTGTGAGATCCCCACATCGGTTGGAGAGGGGAACGAAACATTTCTTATAAAGATGTGAAAACTTCTCTCTAACATATGCGTTTTAAAAACCTTGAGGAAAAACCTAAAATGGAAAGTACAAAGAGTACAATATCTGCTGGTGATGACCTTGAGCTGATACAGTAATCTTGTATCTAGTTTAGGTTGTTTTTTCCTACAAGGTCTGAAAAACTTTTGTTGTTTGGCGTGGCGCAGATGTAGTTGTGCTTGTTGCTGTTGTAATACTAGTGGGATTATTCAGCTTGCAACGCTACGGTACTGATAGAGTTGGTTGGCTCTTTGCTCCAGTTGTGCTACTTTGGTTTCTATTAATTGGAGGTATAGGCATGTTCAACATCTGGAAATATGATAAAACGATTCTACGAGCCTTTTCACCTGTGTATATTTTTCACTATTTTAGAAGGCGAGGGATGGATGGTTGGACGTCCCTCGGAGGCGTGTTGCTGAGTATAACAGGTAATATCATCTTAGATGCACTAAGACATTCAACATTTTGTTTTGTTTATATTTCTAATGATTGGTTGTTAATTCAGGCACAGAGGCTTTATTTGCGGATTTGGCTCATTTTCGTGTAGCAGCTATACAGATTGCTTTTACAGTAATTGTTTTTCCCTGCCTTCTCCTGGCATATTCTGGACAGGCTGCCTACCTTATGAACAATACGGAGCATGTGGCTGATGTCTTCTACCATTCAATACCAGGTCCTCTTTCTTTCTCTTTGGTATCTAAATGACACGTGCTTGAGTGAGACCTGCAGCATTGCCCGAGTGAAATGATGCGCTTGTTAGGAATCACGACCCTCCACAATGGTATGATATTGTCCACTTTGAGCATAAGCTCTCATGACTTTGCTTTGAGCTTCCCCAAAAGGTCTCGTACCAATTGAGATGTATTCCTTACTTATAAACACAGGATCATTCCCTGAATTAGCCAATGTGGGACTCCCTCCCAACAATCTTCAACCATCCTTCCCTCGAACAAAGTACACTATAGAGCCTCCTGAGACCTATGGAGCCCTCGAACAACCTCCCCTTAATCGAGGCTCGACTCCTTCTCTAGAGTCCTTGGACAAAATACCCCATTTGTTCGACACTTGAGTCACTTTTGACTACACCTTTGAGGCTCACAACTTCTTTGTTCGACATTTGAGGATTCTATTGACATGTCTAAGTTTAGGGCATGACTCTGATACCATGTTAAGAATCACAAATCTTCACAATTGTATGATATTGTCCACTTTGAACATAAGTTCTTATAGTTTTGCTATGGACTTTCCCAAAAGGCCTCGTACCAATGGAGATGTATTATTTACTTATAAACCAATGATCATTCCCTAAATTAACCAATTTGGACTCCCTCCCAACAATCCTCAACTGCACTAACATCTCTCTTTGCAGATTCCATATATTGGCCCGTGTTTGTTGTGGCAACGGCTGCTGCTGTGGTTGCTAGTCAAGCCACTATATCTGCAACATTTTCAATAATCAAGCAGGCTCTTGCTCATGGCTGCTTTCCAAGAGTTAAAGTTGTTCATACCTCAAAGAATTTCCTTGGTCAGATATATGTTCCAGATATTAACTGGATTCTCATGGTTCTGTGCATTGCTGTGACAGCAGGATTTAAGAATCAAAGTCAAATTGGAAATGCTTATGGTAAGCGGTTCTCTGTTGTTTGTTCATATCCTCAGTTCTGTCTGTTTCCCAGAAAAAGTTATAACGTTACTGTATCATTGATGCTATTTGAACATATTACCCACCCCCTCTCTATCCTGAAAGGTATATTCTATCAGCTGAGCTGTCTGACCAAATTAGGCTTCCAATTACCATACTCAAGCTGTTGTAGAAACTAAGGTAATGGGTCCCTCCAGCCTGCAAGCAACCCGTTCTCCAATTTTTGGTGACAGGAACGTTAGGAATCACGACTCTTCAAAAGAGTATGATATTGTCTACTTTGAGCATAAACTCTCATGGCTTTGCTTTAGGTTTCCCCGAAATGCCTCGTATCAATGGAGATAGTGTTCCTTGCTTATAAACCTATGATCATCCTCTTAATTAGCCAGCCAACGTGGGACTCCCTCCCAAAAATCCTCCCCTCGAACAAAGTACACCATAGAGCCTCCCCTGAGGCCTATGGAACCCTCGAACAGCCTCCCCTTAATTGAGGCTCGACTCCTTTCTCTAGAACCCTCGAACAAAGTACACCTTTTGTTCAACACTTGAGTCACTTTTGACTACGCCTTCGAGATCACAACTTCTTTGTTCGACAGTTGAGGATTCTATTAACATGACTAAATTAAGGGCATGACTCTGATACCATGTTAGGAATCATGACTCTCCACAATGGTGTATGATATTGTCCACTTTGAGCATAAGCTCTCATGACTTTGCTTTTGATTTCCCAAAAGACCTCAAACCAATGGAGATAGTGTTTCTTGCTTATAAGCTCATGATCATCCCCTAATTCGTTAATGTAGGACTCCCTCCCAACAATCCTCAACAAGAAAGACCCACCATTCAATTTAGAATGTCACGATATGTACGCAAATTGAGGATTAGATCTCTATCGCTCTCTTAATAATGGAACATGAGATCCAATAGTTAAACTCAGTGTTCCTTTTGGCACAATTCGGTTGCTTATATTGACTTGCATACAAGAGAAATGATTGAAATTAGTAGCAATATGGAGTTATTTGTCTCTGTAAGTTGCTGCAAAGTAAGGATATTAAATGTTGCACGAGATAGTTATTCATGCATTTAACTGATGGTGTATAGAACTTCATTTAATCCTCTCCATCTCCTTCTTTCAACAGGGACAGCGGTTGTGGTAGTCATGCTTGTGACCACACTGCTCATGATTCTAATCATGATCTTGGTGTGGCGCTGTCATTGGATCATCGCCCTGATATTCACTGGACTCTCGCTTGTTGTAGAATGCGGTTACTTTTCAGCTGTTCTCTTCAAGGTTGATCAAGGTGGCTGGGTTCCCCTAGTGATTGCTGCGGCCTTTCTTATCATCATGTACGTGTGGCATTATGGTACTGTTAAACGATACGAATTCGAGCTGCACAGTAAAGTTTCAATGGCATGGGTTCTCGGTCTTGGTCCCAGTCTAGGACTTGTCCGCGTTCCTGGAATTGGGCTTGTCTATACCGAGCTAGCAAGCGGCGTACCTCACATATTTTCCCATTTCATTACTAATCTCCCAGCTATCCATTCTGTCGTTGTGTTTGTCTGTGTGAAATATCTCCCAGTCTACACAGTGCCAGAGGAAGAAAGATTCCTTGTCAAGCGGATAGGAACAAAGGATTTCCACATGTTTCGTTGCGTTGCTAGATATGGTTACAAAGACCTCCACAAAAAAGATGATGATTTTGAGAAAAAGCTTTTTGATAGCATCTTTCTCTTTGTCAGGCTTGAATCCATGATGGAGGGTTGTTCAGACTCTGATGAGTACAGTTTGTATGGGCAGCAAACTGAGCGTTCAAGGGACGGCCTGTTGATTGGCAGCCATGGCAATGCAGCAGCTTCATCCAATGTGGGCCCTACCCTCTCGTCAGTCGACTCAATCGTGCCGGTTGGATCTAACACAGAAAGATCATGTGAGCAAGCAAGCAACCATACTGATAGCGATGAGATTGAGTTCTTGATTAGGTGTAGAGATGCTGGGGTGGTGCACATTCTGGGAAACACTGTAATTAGAACAAGGGAATCGAAATTCTTCAAGAGGATAGCTGTGGATTACGTATATGCCTTTCTTAGGAAGATTTGCAGGGAGAACAGTGTGATTTTCAATGTTCCTCATGAGAGTTTATTAAACGTTGGCCAAATTTTCTATGTATAGTCCATTTGATTCATTGATGGAACAGGGAGAGTGAATCAAATCTGTTAGATATACTTTCTTGAATTACATTTTTTTTTATGCACGACCGATCGAAAAAGAGTTGATCAAAGAAGAACAATAAGTGTTGGTTTAGTTTAGCTTGAATTTAGAAGTGAAAAGGAACATTTGTATGAGATGAACGTAATCGATGGATCTACTTGCTTTAGGGTCCTTCATAGAATCTCTGATCGTGCCCTTTCTTCAATGATGGAGTGAGCCATGCCATATTGCATGGGAGGATCTGATCTTTCACTTCCTCGTTGAGCTTTCGATTGATGGTCGTCTGTGATTCTTTCTCCTTCGCACTACTGGTAAGATATATGTTGGTATGAGGATCATCGAAATAAGCAATAATAATATTTCTACGAAAAATACCATTATGTGATTTTTTTTTCTTTCAGGGCATGAACAGTTGAGTGGATTTTTGAGGAGTGGAAGAAATTATTGGAATTCTATGAAAGAATCTCGAAAGCCAGGATGCATGCCAGTTTCATATGAAGCTGAAGAAAATAAGGGCTAAAGTCCGTACCTGGTCAATTTTAGAGATGGTACCAACATTATTCCATAATCAAATATTAATTTATTGTTGACTCTTAGGAACTATATATATATATATATATATATATATATATTTTATTATTTTTTTTTTTTTGTGATGAACTAAAATAGTTGAAATTATTTTAAGCTCAAATCACAATATTTAAAATCAATTAGGGGAAGTCAAAAGTTTGGTAGGGTTAAATTTTAGTTTAATAATTACATTTATCATTATTTAATGTATAATTAATTAACATTTTTAGTTTGACTTCAAATATTATTGATTAATTACATTATTATCATTTGAAAATACTACAAAATAATTTAAGAAATTGACTATGCAGCTACTGAACTTTATCCAAAAATTAAGAAACGACAAATTATGACGTGGAATGCGACAGAAAAAAACAAAAGAAAATAATAATAATACGGTAACCACTAGCAATAAAGCTTATATGATTCTGTTTAATTCTTTCGTCTTCAACCTCCCGATTTGGTTCGACAAGAGACGGATGCGACTGTAACAGAGGCGGCCTTTTCTCGTGTAAACGGAAGCCGCTGATTGTGGTGTTTGGATCAAATTCCGATCATCAAAATCAGACAAATTAGGTTGAGAATTGAAATCACTTGAAACAGAGCAGTAGAGAGGAGAGACCAAATTTGAAACGTCCATGGAAATTGTTGTTCAATGTGAAGAAAACAAGAGGAAAAAAACTAGGACAAAGAATTGGTAAGGCTAGGGGAGTTTCACTTTCAACGATGGTGCTCTGTCAGTTTCAAAGAAGCCGTTGGAGGTAAAATCCTCTGTCCTTCTCATCTCTCGACTTTCTAACACCATCGTCAAGAGATTCCTTATTTGTCTATTGATGGCTCTGCCACTTCAAGACTGATGAATCATTTCAGTACGCTCTTATTGAACTTGTGAACTTCCGTGTGAAATTACGAACGGAAATTCGAGCGATAATTGCGTGTTACCCTACGCAATGTACATCATGTTTTATAATATATGTAGCGATGACTAGGCAATTAAATAATCGTTTTAATATCCTCGATTATTATTCAATGTTTTCGTACTGATCAGTCTGCGTTGTCATAGACCATAAATTTGTCACCCTCCTCCGCAGCTACCTCCAGATATGATTGATTTTGAATATAATAAATAACCATGTCTGATTTAATCAAGATCGCGGATTGTTCATCTCTTACTGTACAATCGATTCGCATGGTTAAGTCAAATTCACCTCAGCTTCATTTTGGTTGATGAGCTAGTTTACCCTTCTGGATTTCTTCTCCTTCTTTTGGCAGTTTTCTGATTTCTGATGTGGTTTTCTTCCTGTTTGCCTGTAATTGGAGTTCTGAGTTTTCCCGGGGTTTCTGCTAATTGATCTGTTGCTTCGTTAGCGGGTACCCTGTCGGATCGGGCTCTTCGAGCTCCAAATCCTTTTGTGTTTTCTCAGTTGAAACTTATCGGTGGGATTTCGTGTTCATTTCTACTCTGAGATTGAAAACAAATCAATTGTGAATTTAGTCTGCTGTTCTACGTAGGAACTGACATCTAGTCGTGGTGCTTTCTCATTACATTTCTCTTTTACAGTCGCAGCGGTTTGGAAATACCGTCGAGTTGTTGTGAAAGACGATATACAGAAGTTAATAAGCTTTAAAAAGAAAGATTCCATATTTCCAAAAAATGGCGTCAGGACGCAAGGCTGTTGAGGATACTGACGATAGAGATAGTAGTATCTGGGTTTTGGATCAGCAGTTGGACCAGCCAATGGAGGAGGAGGCTAGGCGGATAAGAAATGCGTATCAGGAAAAGGTTTGTTGCAAATCCCTTCCTCCCACTTAGTGTGTGGTGCTTGTCTAAAATTTGGAAGCTCAACACATTCATCTAACCCTCTTTTCTTCGTTTGACATGGAACTCTATCCATTTCTTGCTCTATTCTAGTAATAGTGAATTTTAGCATATCCAAATGTTTGTGTGTGTGTGTGTGTGTGTGTGTGCTGGAAAGATCTATGGGTGATTTGCTTTTCCAGATGATTCATAGCTCATATTTTCCCATCAGGAACATTCTGTATTTAAAATTCTACAACTTGCATTCCAAAGCCTTGGGATAGTCTACGGAGATTTGGGCACTTCCCCTTTATATGTCTTCTATAACACGTTCCCCGATGGAGTTGAAAATACAGAGGACTTGATAGGAGCTCTTTCATTGATTATATACTCTCTAACTCTCATTCCCCTTATCAAGTACGTGTTTATTGTCTGCAAGGCAAATGACGATGGTCAAGGTAATTTGTTTCCAACTGCAAGTTACTCTACTCAAGAACATATTTGCTGTTGCGCTTGTAAGAATATGATAAAAGAAAGGTCTATTGTTACAATTTCTAAGTTCTTTTTTTCACAGTAGATGTTAGGAACTCATACATTCTTTAGGCATTATCAATCAATGTTCCTTACAAATGTAATTAAAAGTTCTCTGTGTTTATTTTAGAATGAGATACTTGTCCCGATGATTTCATGTCACAGATGGATAAATAAAGGACGCAAGAAACCAACTTGGGACGAAAAGACTTTATGAAAGAAATTTAAGTGTAGAGATCAAGTTCTTTGGCGTAATGTAGTTTTATCTATCTTGGAAGTTAGTTATTGATAAGGAAGTAAAATGATATCAAGATTCCTATTTGATATTGATGAGGGACTCCTTGCTCTCCCTTGATGCAGGTGGGACATTTGCTCTATATTCATTACTATGCCGTCATGCTAAAATAGGAACTATCCCTAACCATGACCACAGTGATGAGAAGCTTACAACTTATAGTTGTTCCAAGTACCGTGAACAATCATTTGCTGCAAAAACTAAGAGATGGCTGGAAGGAAATCGTGTTAAGAAACACGCAATTCTTGTTCTCGTTCTTGTTGGCTCTTGCATGGTGATTGGGGATGGGATTTTAACACCTGCTATTTCAGGTACTTGTTACTTAGTTTTTAAACCTTGAAAAGTATTTATATTTTCTTATAGAATCTTTTAGTGATCATACAAAATGTAGACGGACTGGAGAATTAGATGAAATAGTCATTGCAAAACATAGCTACATGTTGGGAGTATTCACGCACGACCTTTTAGAAGTTTCATGTCCACCCAAGTGTGGCTAGTTCTATGTGTCAATTTTGTTCATGTAATACTTTCAGTGCCAAAGAAGTCACATGCGGTACTTATTTGTCACACATTTGGAAGATTTTGGTGCATCCTAAACTATGAATAAGACTAAATTTTTTAATTTGCTAGAACGAAATTTTGAGATTTAGTTGCATTAAAATATGATTGGCCTTATTATAATATGCAGTTCTTTCTGCTGTTGGGGGGATCAATGTTGGTCGTACAAAAATAAGCAATGGTATCTCTCTGGTCCTGAAACATTCCTTTGCCCTTGCTCTTTCAATATTCTCATTTTTAATAATTCAAATTCTCATTCTTTGTTCCAGATGTAGCTGTTCTTGTTGCTATTGTCATACTTATTTTCTTGTTTACCATGCAACGTTATGGCACAGATAAAGTTGGTTGGCTTTTTGCCCCGGTAGTTTTTCTGTGGTTCATCTTAATAGGAGGCATCGGCATTTATAACATCTGTAAGTATGATAACAGTGTCCTTAGAGCCTTTTCTCCAGTATATATATATCGGTACTTCAAAAGGGGAGGGAAAGTTGGATGGATATCCCTTGGAGGGATCATGCTTAGTATTACAGGTAAGATATTAGATGCTGTTATCAGTAAAGAATGTCAAGTGATCAAGTTGGAATTTCTGACGTCTAATATGACAATATATTACAGGAACTGAAGCACTTTTTGCAGACCTATCCCATTTTCCAGTTTCCTCCATACAAATTGCTTTTACAGTTGTTGTATTTCCTTGCCTTCTTTTAGCCTACTCTGGACAAGCTGCCTATCTCATGAAAAACCCAAATTATGTTGCCGGTGCCTTCTACCATTCAATTCCAGGTTTGTTCTGAATTTAGTTTGTGGGAATATTAATTTAGGACTTTCTCATGCACTCCTAGATTGAATGAAAAAGTTGGGGAAACAGATTGAGGGAAGCTCATTATTAGCATTTTCCGATGTACTTTTAACCTTCCCAAAAGTGTTTTTCAATATCGTAATCTTTCCCCAATTAAGTATACGTATCTTTCAAAGTGTGAATGTTGCCTTGGAACTGAGTTTAAGATATTCATTCTGCAGATAGTATATATTGGCCAGTATTTTTTGTTGCAACTACCGCCGCGATTGTTGCTAGCCAAGCCACCATATCTGCAACCTTTTCATTAATCAAGCAAGCCCTTGCACTTGGTTGCTTTCCAAGAGTTAAAGTTGTTCATACTTCTAAGACGTTCCGTAATCAAATATATATTCCTGATATTAATTGGATCCTGATGGTCCTTTGCATTGCCGTGACAGCTGGGTTCAAAAATCAAAGCCAAATTGGAAATGCTTCAGGTAAGCTCGACT